GGCCTTGCTACTTTCCTGGTGGATTCTCCCAAAACTTACAGTTTAAGCAGCAGCTGGTGGAATGTAGCACGGAATGTAGCACGATTCTCTACCTCCAGGAGCCCCGCCCCTTTCTGCGGGATTGAAGTGACCCCTAAGAAAGTAGGGATGATAGTGGAGGAGTCTCAGCTGGAGGACGAGGGAAGCCAGCTGAGACTTTTCCTGCGTCTGCCCAGCAAGCGAGGAGGGTTTGGCATGAGTCATTCAGTGCTCTGGAGAAGCAGAGATCCGCTGAGTCGGTCCGACGCAGTCGCTGCTTGACACCTTCTTGAAGACGGGCCATGGATGCTGGAGGCTTCGCTGATCCCCACCAGAATCTTCCTGCCTCTTTGATTTTTTTCCCCCCATCCAGATGCAGCTTTCCCAAAGAGATGCCAAGCACTCGTCAAGCTCTCGGCAAAGCAGAAAAAACAGAAAACCGATGGCAGAAAAAGACCCAGGGGTCCCTCAAGTCTGCCTTTGGAGTTTTTATTTTTGTTTTTTCTTTATTTTTAATTATTAATTTTTATTTATTTCAAAATTTTCGTTGGGTGATAGATCTGTTTACCCCGAGCATGCTTAAGTTCAATCAATCAGAGTAGAGCTGGAAGGGACCTAAACTCAAGTCAATTCTAGTCCAGCCCCCTCCTCAAGCAGGACACCCTATACCAGTGTTTCCCAAACTTGACAATTTTAAGGCATGTGGACTTCAACTCCCAGAATTCCACAGCCAGCAGTGCTGGCTGTGGAATTCTGGGAGTTGAAGTCCACATGCCTTAAAATTGTCAAGTTTGGGAAACACTGCCCTATACCTATACCCTATCTCAGGGGCTGCCCCAAAGAAGGAGTCAAGCTATTCTCCAAAGCGCCTAAAGGCAGGACAAGAAGCAACAGAGGGAAACTCATCAAGGAGAGAAGCAACCTGAACTAAGGAGGAATTAAGTGACAGTTAGAACAATTAACCAGTGGAACGACTTTCCTCCAGAAGCGGCGAACTTCATCGGGGATGGCCTGGGATGGCAGTTGCAAATAACTACAGAAAGACCTCTCTCTCCAGCCCCTTCAGATTCTTGTCTCCGTTCATTGATGGGTTCCCACAACCCAGCAGCCAACACTCAGATGCGGGGAGCAGCTTGTCTGAACCCCAGGAGTGAGATTTACCTCAGTGTTAATGTCCTGAGGAGTCACAGATAAATCTTCATGCCCCTCCCCCTTAGTTTCATCATAATCCTGATTGACACTCTCTCCTCGTAAGACTTGTGTAGGGGAGGGGCTGGGCTGGAGGCCGTGTGTGTGTGTGTGTGTGTGTGTGTGTGTGTGTGTGTGTGTGTGTGTGTGTGTGTGTGTGTTTTGCTGTTGGTCAGGTTATTCATTTTGTTTTTAATCTGTTTTTTATTTGTTTTGTCAGTTCAGTTTTCAACCATCAGTGCATTTAATCTCTTGTTTACAGGGTGAGCCACCCAATTAAATTAAATTAAATCAAACTAAACCCAATTAAATTAAACTAAGTGGAGCGTTTCACCCGAGCATGTGAACCAGGTCACTTCACTGGGTTAGGCTCAGTCAGTGCCCAGAGCAGGGGCAGACAACCTTGGCCCCTTCGTGACTGGTGGACTTCAACTCCCATAATTCCTGAGCCAGCAGGGGGGAAATTATGGCCCCCTCACAACTCGTAGACTTCAATTCCCAGAATTTCTCAGCCAGCATGGAACTATGGCCCCTTCGTGACTCGTGGACTTCAACTCCCAGAATTCCTGAGCCAGCATGGCTCAGCTTGGAAACCTCTCCCTTTCCCCTCAGTGTGGCTGGCTGAGGAATTCTGGGAGTTGAAGTCCGCAAGTCATGAAGAGACCAAGGTTGCCTCCCCTGGCCCAGAGTGAGAAGGGAAAAACATGTGGTCACTCTCGAGCATTACAAAACTCACAAAGGAAACTGGAGAGGGGGGCAGAGATGGGAGATCGACAAAATCAAGACTGCAGGCAGACCTCGACTTACCACAGCCCAGAATTTCTGTTGCTAAGCAGGGAAGTGAGTTTTGCCCCTTTTTACAATCTTTTTGCCACAGTTGTTAAGTGAGTTGCTATAGTAGTTAGTAACCTGGTTGTTAAATGAATGTGGCTTCCCCATTGGCTTTGCTTGTCAGTAGGTCACCAAAGGGGAATCACGTGACCCCAGGACGCTGCGACGGTCATAAATATGAGTCAGTTGCCAAGCATCCGCATACTAACCATGTCATCATGGGAATGCTGCAGTGGTCATTAAATGTGAAAACGTCAATGGAATGGAATGGAATGGAATAGAAATAATATAGAATAAAATACAGACTAGAATAGAATAAAATACAGACTAGAATAGAATAGAATAAAGACTAGAACAGAATAGAATAGAATGACAGAGTTGGAAGGGACCTTGAAGGTCTTCTAGTCCAACCCCCAACTCATAAACCCACTTTTTTCAGTGCAGTTATAACTTCAGTCACTAAATGAACTGTTGCAGATCAAGGACTACCTATACTTTAGAATGAATTAATTTCCTAGTTCCAAAACACTCACCTTAGGCTTCTGTGCTCCTTTTAAGGATCATTTGTCTATCCAACTTTGTTCTGCATGACCAAAGTTCTCTTTGGCTCTTTTCCCCGTTAATTAAATAATGACATAATGTTAATTGCCCCAGGGGCCCCTTAGCCCAAACGCCACCATCTGGCCTTGTGACCTTTGACCGGCTCTTGCTATTCGACGGTCCCTGGATGCCCTCTAGTGGCATGGAACACCCTGGTGCTGCCATCCACAGACCCATCCGTAAGCAGATGATGGTGTACCACAGTGTTTCCCAAACTTGACAATTTTAAGGCATGTGGACTTCAACTCCCAGAATTCCACAGCCAGCGTTGCTGGCTGTGGAATTCTGGGAGTTGAAGTCCACATGCCTTAAAATTGTCAAGTTTGGGAAACACTGGTGTAGCAGAATGTGTGAACCCAGATTCTTGGTCTCTGTTGCGGGATGTGTCTGAAAGGGCTGCTGGTTTTTCCTGGAAAACACCCAACCATCAATTGACCTAGCAATCTGGGTAGCTTCTCTACATTAAACAAAGAATTGCCTAACCCACGTTCGCACTACTCGAACCTAATTAAGGAGAAACTTCCCGACAGTGAGGACAATTCACCGTTTCTTTGGGACCATCCCAGTCCAGGGGTCTCCAAACTCGGCAGTTTTGAAGATCCGTGGACTTCAATTCCCAGGATTCCTCAGGCAGCCATGCAGGCTGAGGGATTCTGGGAGTTGAAGTCCACAGATCTTCAAAGCTGCCGAGTTTAATCTCGCCCATCTAGGATCCATCTAGCATAGGGGGTTGGCAACCTTGGCTCTTTTATGACTCCTGGACTTCAACTCCCAGAATTCCTGAGCCAGCTGTGCTGGCTCAGGAATTCTGGGAGTTGAAGTCCACGAGTCATAAAAGAGCCAAGGTTGCCTACCCCTGATCTAGCACAAACCTGGTTGAAGAGGGTGGCTGGGTCACCTGACCTGCTCAGACCACGGCTGGGCTCCCAGGGCTCCTGGCCGGCCAACTGCCCAGTCCCCCTTCAGCCCAGACCAGCCTATCGAGAAGGCGAGCAGGCAGATTCCTCAGGGCTTCAGAGAAGGGGGCAGCCCTGCAAAGCCCCACAGGCTGCTTCCAGAAATGGGGCAAGCCAACCCCCCCCCCCAAAGTACCTGGAATCCCAGCAGGTCAGAGGATGGCCTGACTGAAAGGGAGGCGAGGGCCGGGGTGCAATCAAGAGAAGGCCAAAGGGACCCACCAGGAAGGAGAACACCCACCCTTGGGGCTCAGGAAACCACCCAAGACTGAAGCCCCCCCCCTTCCCAGTTTCTGAGCAAAATGGCCTTGGAGCTCCTCTCCCCACCAGACCCTTCCTCTCCTTGGCAACTTCAGAGTTGCCCTGTTGGATGCCTGCCAGCTCTACCATCCTGTCTGGAAGGATGGCAGGACCTGGGTTGGCTCTGCCGGGCTCCCCCACACAAGGCCGGAGAGGCCTGCCCAGTGTGGCCCCAGCACCGAAAATCCCCTTTAATAACAGCCGGTTTGGTCTGCTGGTTAAGGCACCAGGCTAGAAAGCTGGAGATGGAGAGTTCTAGTCCCGCCTTAGGCATGAAAGCCAGCTGGGTGACCTTGGGCCAATCACCAGGCGACAGGGAGCTCTAGTCCCGCCTTAGGCGTGAAAGTCAGTTGGGTGATTTTGGGCCAATCACCAGGCGACAGGGAGTTCTAGTCCCGCCTTAGGCATGAAAGCTGGCTGGGTGACTTTGGGCCAATCACCAGGCGACAGGGAGTTCTAGTCCCGCCTTAGGTGTGAAAGTCAGTTGGGTGACTTTGGGCCAATCACCAGGCGACAGGGAATTCTAGTCCCACCTTAGGCATGAAGTCAGTTGGGTGACTTTGGGCCAATCATCAGGAGACAATGAGTTCTAGTCCCGCCTTAGGCATGAAAGCCAGCTGGGTAACTTTGGGCCAATCACCAGGAGACTCTTTCTAGTCCCGCCTTAGGCATGAAAGCTGGCTGGGTGACTTTGGGCCAATCACCAGGTGACAGGGAGTTCTAGTCCCGCCTTAGGCATGAGATCAGTTGGGTGACTTTGGACCAATCACCAGGAGACGGTGAGTTCTATTCTCACCTTAGGTGTGAAAACCAACTGGGCTACTTTGGGCCAATCACTCTCTCTCAATCCAACCCACCTCACAGGGTCGTTGTTTTGAGGAAAATATGAAAAGGAGAAGGAGTATTATGCATGCTCACCACTTGAGTTACTTATAAAAATAGTAAAGGCAGAAGATAGATAGATAGATAGATAGATAGATAGATAGATAGATAGATAGATAGATAGATAAATAGATAATAGATAGATAGACAGACAGATAGATAGATGTGTGTGAGAGAGAGAGAGAGGGAGAGAGGAAGAAAAAGCCACAGCAGGCCAGGCCAGGGGCAAGTGCGCAGGGACCGTTCTCACGGCCCGTCCTTTAATCGCTTGGAAGTAAGGCTTTGACTAAGGACCGGCGCTCAGAGCGACTGTCCCAGGGTCTCCCTTGCAGGACCCTCGGCAGAAAGAGCCTCCGGGTTCTGCCCAGCCCTGATGCGGATCAATTACATTCAAGAACAGGAGATCAGCAGAAGAAAATGCCCTCAGTCTGGAGGCGTCGCTGGGATCGTCGCTCCTGGCCTCATTTTGGTCCCCCTGGAGGACCCCCGGGAACAGACGGGCCAACTGGGCCAGCAGCAGGAAGCGGCTCACCCTTCCGCCGGGCGTTTCCCACAGTCACCCTCCGAAAGCAGGGAAAAAAGGGGGGGGGGAGGAAGCTAATTATACGAAGAGGACCCAGCCCACCAGAGAAGGGGATGTGCTAAAGGTAGAAGGGGATTCTTGCTGAAGGAGGCTGCCAGATGTGCAGACAGTCACGGTGGTCTGGGAAAAGGCTGGACTGGCCGGCCTCCAAGTCAGAGTAGCAGCCAATCCATGCCCAGAACCCCACCCTCTCCTGCAGGCCCCCCTCAGCCTGATATGTTGACAATGGAAACAGACCCAGGAAAACCCAGGGGAGTGAAGGGGTCCCACAGTCTGAGGTGGGGCAGGAGGCCGTGGGGGGACAGAGGGAGTCTCAGAAGAATTTGTCGTCAATTCTGAAGTGGGGCCGCGTGACGTCGTCAGGGTTGATGAAGACCGAAATGGACTTTCCCGGGTTCTCAGTCACCAGCTGCTGCAGCTTTTTGGCCAGCCGGTCGTCGGGCTGGTTGGGATCCCCTCCGTCCGACTGGGGGGAGGGGATGCTGGTAGCGCTGCCCCTCCGCTGGAGCTCCAGCGTCAGCCGGTTGGCGGCCTTGACGTGCTCGATGGCCATCTGGAGGTGCTCGGCCGGGTCGGAGCGCACGGAGGAGAGCTTCCGCGCGTGGAGCATGACCGTCTCCTCGGAGAGGTGCTCCAGCATGTTGCACTGGGGGATGAAGTAGTTGGGGCAGGTCTTGTTCACCAGGCAGTGCTGCAGGTCGTCAATCAGGCCCAGCAGGAAGTGGGCGGCGTAATCCTCCTGCAGCAGGTAGCTGGCGGGCAGCCGGTCGCAGGCCCAGAGCATGACGCTGCGCAGGTGGTAGGGGCTGATGGCCTTGGGGCGCGAGAGCAGCTTGATGATGATGGCCTTGCAGGCCTGGTAGGCCTGCATGAGGCTGGTGGAGATGCACTTCTTCAGCTGCACCTCACTACGGGCAAAGGAGAGGCGCCACTCGTTGTCCTTCCGACCCTTGTACGAGCAAGCCGGGACCAGGTAGAAGCCGCTGATGACCTCCTCCTCCGTGATCTTCCCGTCCCAGAAGTGGTTCTCCATCAGCCAGCTCTGGGCCACGGCCGGCCAGCCCTTGAAGGACACCACCGGCACGATGTCGTACAGCATGCGGCTGCTGCCCACCCCTAAGATGATGGAGATGAGCGTGCCGTTCTTCTCCACCTTCTCCACCTTGGGCATCCCCCGCTGGGGCTTCTTCTGGATCTCGGAGAGGACCACGCTGATGGACTCGTAGAACCAGTCGGCCACGCGGGTGGGGGAGAAGAAGTAGTTGGTGGCCCCGTTGAGATGGTCCACGATGGTGCAGCAGTCCTTCCACTTGCTGATGGTCCCTTCGTCAAAGAGCCGCAAGCTCAGCCAGGAATGACACAAGGCGGAGTGGCGCATGTCCAGGGTGACCGGCTGGTTTCGGTCGTGCAGCTTCAGGGCTGGCACAAGCAGGGTGAAGTCCATGTCGTAGTCAGTGCCACGAGCGTAGAAGTTCAGTTCGTCCAGGTCAAGGTCCACCACGCCTTCTCGGACCCCTCCAGAAAGCAGCAAGTATTCATTGGCGACTGGAAGTTTTTGGTCAAGTTTTTGTACCATGCCTGGAAGGAAGAGAGAAAGAAGTTGAGAGGCAGTCTAGAGCTTGGTGCTTCAGAGCCTGCCCCAAAACAAGGGAGCAGGTGGGCACTCCCCTCCAGGGGGATCTTCCGAAGACAAAGCTTTATGGAAGCAGCAGGGTCAGGACCAAAACCAAGAAGGACACAGGGCGATTCTTTCAAGCTGAGCCCTTTATTGTAACTCCTACAGACAAAATCTTGCCAGATTGAGGATCTACTTTCTCTATTTACCGTAGACTCTGAGAACCATTAAGGAGGCACTGTCCTCACTCTCTTTCTCACACACAATACATGTGGGCTGAGTGGCCTCTTTCTCCTTCCTGGAAAGCACCCCCTCCCTCCTGGGGGATCTGCCTCCTCACTACATCGCATCACCTGTATATGTAGACTTGCAACAGTTTGTTTACTGACTGTTCAAAGTTACAACGGCCTTGAAAAAAGTGACTTATGACCGTTTTTTCACACTTATGACCACTGCAGCATCACGTGATTTACATTCGGAGGCTTAACCAACTGAACTCATATATATGATGGTTGCAGGGTCTCAAGTGTCACATGATCCCCTTTTTCGGCCTAATCAACGGGGGAAGCCGGATTCACTTAACAACCGTGCTACCCCCTTAAAAACTGCAGTGATTCACTTAACAACTCTGGCAAAGAAAGGGTGTAAAATGGGGAAAAATTTGGTTAACAACGGACTTGCTTAGCAACAGAAATTTTCAGCTCCCTTGTGGTCATCAAGGACTGCCTGTAGGCACAACCCAGCCTGAGCCAAGTTCTGCTCAGGTATAAAATATAAAAGGGAGGTATAAAGGTATAAAAGGAAAGGGAATCTAAAGCAATGCAGACTTCAGCTTGGCAGCTATAAACAATGCGCCATCGGGAGCAGAGTTGCAGAGGACGAAAAGAGAATCTCCTACAGCTGAACGGATCCCACAGCAAAAGAGGGCTGAAAAACCTGCCTTCGAAACCCCACAAAGCAGGCGGGCAGCACCATGGCCCCATCGGAGCCCAGCTCGGAGGGCTTGGAACTGGGACCATCTGACAGGGATGGCGCATCTCCCTCGGCCTGTTCGGAGCGGCCAGGAGGTGAGGACGGTGCTGTCCTGGCCCCCTCGGGCTTTAGGGGAGGTGGTCAGCCGGACGGGGAGCTACCTGCCTTCACAGACACAGGGGAGGATCAGTTGCTGACAGGCAACAGATCCCCTCTGATGAGGAACAGCTGCTTACTCCGCTGATCCCGAGAGCACGGAGAGCAGAGCATGGAGAGCAGAGCACAGGCAAGCCCAGAGAAGGAATGCAAGGCTACTGGGAGGGGGATCTGCCCCACCCCTCCTCACAAGGAACACCTGGAGGGGAGGGAGTTAAGGAGAAGCGTCTTTGTGTTTGCTTTGGCTTGCACTTCCCCGGCTTTGACTCCTGCTTGTTGCTGCTTGCCTTGCCTGGCTGGGAAGACACTCTTCGCCTTCTGTTTTGGACCGGCCTTTGCCCCAAGGACTGCCCTTGTCTTGTGCCTGGACGCTGCCCTATGGACCCCGTTGTGGTGTGGTTGTTTTGGGACTGAGAGGGCAAGTGGGTTTCTGTTAACTTTGTGGAAATAAAACGACTTGGGGCAGCTGAGCCAATACAGTAGAAAAAAATACTGCTACTTTAGCAGTAGGGCTCACCAATTGTAGTGGTCAAGTACTAGGAGAAGAAGCAGTAGTAGCAGTGTGTGAGAAGGAGCTGTGAGTACCGCCCATTGTGTGCTTGTGGGCGGGTTGCCTGAGGGCCGAGGATGATTGTGTTGGCTTGTCTGGGGTTTGAGGGGGCCCACTGATTTTGGGCAGAGATAAAAATATGTGACGGTGGGCTATATAAATGCAATTAATACATTTCATTAATAAAATCGTGGCCTTTGTTCCCAGGGACTGAGAAATAGCCAAATAAACCCCACTTGGCGAAAGAAAAGAGCAAAAAATATTTGTGTTAAGAGCGCATGGACCGCCTGTGCATGTCGGCTTCCTCTATTCATGCAAACGAAGACCTGGCGAGGCTCCTGGCCTTCTCCGAAGCCTCCACACCAGAGGTCAAGGTAGGTGCCCAGTGCGAGTGCCCCAAAGCCTCAAGAAAATGCCAGAAAATTTGGGAAATTTCTTTTTGGAAAAGTCATGTTGGCGCGAATGCTCGCAGCTTCTGAGCCAAGAAGGGAAAGTGGGAGAAAGGTGCCTTGTTGTCAAGAGCCCCAACTCTACACAACCCCTCCAGGAATGGCCCTTGACCCCGTGTGCCATCCCTTCCCCTCCCCCTACTCCTTTTAAGGCCACCGTTGGGAGGATAAAACTGGAGGTTTACGGATTCTGTCTTGGATTTTGGAGGGAAGACGGGCTGCGTATGTCCTACCTACAAGCACACTCCCAAATTTAACAATCAAGGTCAGCCGTGGACGAGCTCTTGAAATCAGTCATAAGGACGGGGAAGGAGAGGGTGATCCTCTGAGGACCTCTGCCCTTATTACGCGTTGAGTTTTGTTTCTCTCCGCAGAACCATTTACGGACATTTTAGCTTCACCCCACACAAAGGATGCTTTGGACCAAGGCAGCTTCGCCGGATACTATAACTAACCCTGGTGGGAGAATCCTCAACCTTGTTTCAAGAGATGAAACCATCTCCCCAAGTTGCAAAGGGGCAGATAAGTGAGCGGAAGGGGGGGCAAATCCACCCCCCTTCCTCCTTCTGTCAACCGCAGGGAGAAGGCTGTGCCCGACCGTCACCCGAACAGCAGATATGAGAATGATTGTGTATCTTGCTTTGCCCTCAACGGTGGAGATGGAGAACCTCAACCCCCCACGGACAGCCTGCTTGTTCCCCTAAATTAAAGGCGTCGCTTAGGGGGCGGTCGCACCCTTGAAAAGAAGAGGTTCTTTCTGCACGTTCCCCAAATTCGGAGCCCACCCAGATATCGTTCGTTGTGCAAAAGTCAGGGCGATGCACAGCTTGCATCTGTGAGGAAACGCAATGCCTTCAAAAGAAGATCTTGGAGAACTGAGGTTCTTCATAGATGGATGTAGAGGTCTGTGGGGGACGTTGAAGACAGCCACATGAAATTTTGAGGTGAGGAATAGAAAAAAATTTCATGCTGCATCATGTCTGGTGGTAGAATTTCAGCTGCTGCATCTCCTAAACTTTGGGGCTGCTTTTCTGGAGACTTGCAAAAATGGTTAGATTTTTTTTTAACCATCTGTGCATCACAGAGGCAACGCTGAAGCCTATGTTGGTTTGTCCAGCAGGTCTTCCTACCGCTGGCCAGTGAAGCCATTTTTGACAGATGGAAGGATTATCTGAACCCCCTTCCAAGGTTGGGGTGGAGGTTGGGAGGACCCCAACTAACCTCAAGGTTTCTCCTGGCCCCCCCCCCCTTCAGAGTACGCACCCACTCCCCCCCTTTCAAGCAGGGAAGAGACCACAACGGTCTGGAAATGGCACCAACAGCACAAGCCTCCAGCCTGATTTGTGATTGTTTTAAAAGAAATAAATAGTAACATGCAGACTGTTTGAATTCAATAATGTTTTCCACTATGGCATCAAAAAAATTAAGAAAGATGGGATTGATCCGTTTAAATTTTATGCAGCTTCCTTGCTTTCCCATCCCATGTATATTCCTGACTGTAGGACAGTTGCATTTTATTTTAAAGTTGGGAAACAAATTGTGTAAATCAAGATCTGCCGCCCGGAGTTTTTTTGCTTTTCTCCTGAGGTTTCTGTGGCTGGAAATGAAACACACATTTCATCCCTTTGGGGCGTTGCTGACCCCTCCTCCCTTTCAGAGAGGAAGCGACAGAGCAGAGAAACTCAAAACGGGAAGAGTTTTGTCTCCTTTTCTTTCATTCCAGAAAAAGCCTGGAGACCTTCACATCTTGGTTTGTGCTTCCCTTCGGGGACTTTGAGCACAACATGGATTCCATCCAAGGGCTGTTTCCCCCCCCCCCAGCCCACGCCCCAGAGGCCTTTGACTCTGTCTTAATAATTTTTATTCTCTTAGTGGAGCCCTGTAGTTCCATTACTATTACTTATTTAATCTGTTTTTAAACTAGTAACAATGGTTGTTAAGTTAATCTGGTTTCCCCATTGACAATTTAATAATAATAATAGTAATAGTAATAGTAATAATAATAATAATAATAATATAGGGACCTTGGAGGTCATCTAGTCTAATCCCCTGCTCAGGAAGGAAACCCTAGACCAGGGGTAGGCAACCTTGGCTCTTTTCTGACTGGTGGACTTCAACTCTCAGAATTCCTGAGCCAGCCGTGCTGAGGGGAAAGGAGAGGTTTCCAAGCTGAGCCAGGCTGGCTGAGGAATTCTGGGAGTTGAAGCCCACGAGTCATGAAGGGGCCATACTTCTCCCACGCTGGCTCAGGAATTCTGGGAGTTGAAGTCCACCAGTCATAAAAGAGCCAAGGTTGCCTACCCCTGGTCTAGTGGCTGAGGCACCAGGCTAGAAAGCAGGAGATCCTGAGTTCAAGTCCTGCCATAGCCATGAAATCCAGCTGAATGACTTTGGGCCAGTCCAACCCACCTCACAGGCTTGTTGTGGTGGAGGAAATAGGAGGAGGAAGGATTTTGCTCTTAAACTTCTCAGCTTACGTTCCCCCCCCCCTTCTTTGCAGCCAGCAGGGCGAGATGCCAACTTGGGCATCCTCCAAGTGGTGACAGGCTTCCGAGAGCTGTGCCCTTCTGCCCCAGGGCCTACGTAATTCGGTCCCCGCCCTCTTTGCCCTGGAGACCTGGATCTGGCTCAGCCTGTTCCGCTCGCTGGCTTTCGCACTCAGAGACTCAGCCTGGGGATGCAACGGCTGCCCTGCCTTTCTCCTTCTTCGTCTTTCTGATGGGGCGACGTGTCCGTGCTCTGCTTTCAGACAATGCAACGGATCTGGGTTCATTTCTGGAGTCTGCACAATGGAAGTGGATTGGTCAGAGGAGCTGGGGACGGGAGTGGATTTCCC